AAGTCTTTTCCCTGAAAATGGAAAATCAGGGAGGAAAGGAGCAAGAGCATTCATAGGATGATTAATAGTCTCCCAGAAAGTAAAGAATCCATATTTTATTCCTTTTTCTTTCCATGTTCTTTCCCAGTATCTTCAGGGCTTATAGTTGGACAAAGAAAGGGTGTCATATAGTTATCTCTTAACATTTTCTGAAAACATACAAAAATTGGAATCCTGCACACCTCCACGCAGTAATTCTTACTTTGCTGGTCAATTCAAAGTAATTCTTACTTTGCTGGTCATCTAAAAAAGACTGTCACTTACCACTACCTCCCTCCTACCCTACACCTAGATTCCAAGCCACTGACTATTCCTTTCCCTTGTTCCCCATTCCACACTCATCCACCCAGGGGGTTTATAGCAGTGGATGTCTTCCAGTCTTCTAAGTATTCATCTATAAACTTCAATTCCTTCTTATCCATCTTGAGAAGTGTCCTTTGCAGTAAAGTAAGTGCTAAGTATTTTTCCTATTCAGAGTTTCTTATTTCTAAATTCAAGATATTGTGATCACTTGCTAATATTATTTGACATTTTATTGAAATTTTTCCTTCCAGTGACCATTGGACAATTACAACAACATTTATCACTTGGAAAATATGGTGCACCCCTGCTACCTCCTTGATTTAATTTGATGTGATCAGTAGATGGGTGCACGCTACATGACATGCTTTGATATAGTAGACTAGGAAAGAAATAAATAATGTGATTAGAGAAAACATTTGGCCTATTTGTCATTTCAATGTCCCTCTGAATACTCGAAAACCTCTGTGGAATGAGGAAATTGATACTCTTGTACATTGCCCACTGAAATCTAGCAGCATCTTTGAATGGAACTTGATAATCCAAATGCAAAACTTATATTAGAGTGATTCATCCATATTATTACTTTTAAATGATTACAGATTGAACAGAAGAAGAGTCATCATGACATTAAGTCAAAGACCTAAACATATAATTTTCTCTCTGTCAAAAAAAAAAAAAAGTTTAGATTAGCGATTCCCTTCTAAATTCTGGAAAAATCTGGCACCACACATGGAAGATTAATAATTAAAATTGCTAACCTACACAAGCCATATTACACATGACAAACAATATCAGGAAATCATCTACCCAGATAATATATGGGTAAATGTATAGATGGACACAAGTGTATGTTTAGACAGCACCACAAACAAATTCTTTAAAAGGGAATAACCATAACCATATACAGAAATTCCCTGAATTCTCAAATAGATCAAAAAAATAAAAATGTTGCCACTTATAGTGCATAAATACTACATTTGTTTATCTGCAAAGCTCATTTGAAGGATCTTTCAAAGACTGGACGTTCTATAAGAGCAAAATGTGGGCAGTACGCATTCTGATAGACCACAATGATATAGCTCTTTCTATGGGTAGAGAATTTTTAAAAACATTAACTGACTAACCTTCACAACAATTCTGTAGGAGGCAAATATTATTAATGGTTTTATTTTACCAATGGGAATCTGAGTCAAGGAGAGATTAAATGACATGCCAAAGACTGCAACAAGACAAAGTGTTAGAAAGAGGATTAGGACACAGAAGATTCTGATTTTCAGTTCTCATTATAAATCACGGAAGCAAGATAAAGTACATGATAACAGATATTTTCTTGACAAATGGGATCTCATGAACCTAAAGTTTCTAATGTGAGCAATTTTGATATTGCCAATAAGAAATGTCTATATTAAATAAATCACATAATTTATCTCTTGTCTCTGTTGAAAATAAATCTTCTAGTAAAAAAAAATGTAATTTAAAAAATCAGAAGTTAATATATGCCTAACACAATCAGTTCTCAGCGTGGTGAATGTGGAAGTTGCCCTGAAGAGGCAAAGTATATTTTGTCCTTTGTTATAAACTCATGACATCCACACTTTTCAGGGATAGAACCTGTCAGGTCATGTCCAGACACCAATATCGTGAGTGACCTCAAACTCCCATCATAAGCTTTCTTTTATTACCACTCCTTGTCTGAATCAGCTAAACTAGCCAAGCAAAGAAGGAAATGAAGCAAAGTAGTTGGGGGAATTAAAAGGGAGAGGAGGGGAGTGTTGAAATGATCATGGCTGGGTAATATTTTGAAATATTATTCTACGCATATGTATTAATCTGGGTTCTTCAGAGAAACAGAACCGATAGTAATACAGTTGACTCTTAAACAACACAGTTGTGAACTGTATGGGCCCACTTATATGAGGATTTTTTCCTGAAAATATACAGTCAGCACTCTGAATCACCCGGTTTTGCATCTGCAGATTTAACCAACTGCAGATGGAAAACTATTTTCAATCCATAGTTGAAAATCCATGGATATGAAGGGCCAGATGCATTGACCTATGACATTTTATAAAAGGGACTTGAGCTAATGTTTATAAAGTACATAGAATGGTGCCTGCACATGGCGAACATTATGTATCGGTCCCCATAACAACTCCATAAGGTTAGCACTAATATCATCATTCTTATTTTTACAGATAAGGAAACTGAGGCAGAGAGGGTTCCAAGGTCCTAAAACTAGTTTGCAATAGAGCCAGGATTCAATTCCAGCAAATATGGCTCCAGAGTCCATGCTCCTAACTGCTACACTGTGACACTTTGAAACTCACAGCAGAGCATAGTTTGAGAGAAAAATTTTGGAGAACCAAAGGTTACAATCATGAAAGACTCTGAGCATATAGTTGATACTATAAACAATAAATTTTAAAAAATGATGCAGTGGTAATTGAAGTATGAGGTTTATCAACCCCCAAAGAAATTATGAATTGCCCAAGCAGCGTGGGGATTCAAGCAAAGGAAGACTGCACCTCATTTCCTGAGTGGGACCTGAAGTGCCAGCAAGCCTCTCATTTCTTCCCTTCCACCCTCTTGGCCAGCACAACAGCAGAGAAAGTTAGGATGTAGCCTGATGAGCATGTCAAAGAAACATGGCTGTGATACAGCCCCACCAAGTTTCCCAGAGCCCCAGAGCAGCACAGAAGGGCATCATGACACTTCCATGCTTCCCTGTCTTCCCACCCCAAGAAGGGTGAAAATTACAGGCTCAGGGTAACTGCAGGCATTCTCGTAGTCTTGCCAGAGTGTGGAATGGAAATTGAGTCTGGAGGAGAACAAAGCCATCTTGAGGATGTCAGCAGGGATACTAAGCCCAGAGATCAGCACGTGCCACCATGAATAAAGGCTCATTTGTGAAAACCAATAGCCCCTCCTATCTCGTGGACACCATGATATGACTTAAAGCCTCAGAACTTGGAGGCAACCCAAGGTGAAAAGGGTGGGAAAAGCCTGAACTGGCTGAATAAATGATTGACTGAAGTTAACCTGAGTTGAATAAGATCGAAATTAAGTTCAGTTAGATAAAGTAAAGCTACATTTTTTTTTTACACAGTTGATTTTGCAGC